ATTCACAAACAAATATCCTCATTAAAGCTTGTTTCTATATAAAGATTCAAATTCGAATTCGAAAATTAGTTTAGAACCTGAACTCTTTTCAGGATGTTCATAGCTCATTTCGATCTACATAATGCACATACGCTCGACACAAAACTGATTGAATAGTTAGTGATATTACCTCCTAAGACTAGCACTCTCTTACATGACAAATCAATAGTTATATTCTCTATGCAAGAGATAGTCGAATCTTTGGAATAAATACATACTATACTTCAAGCTTAATTCATATGTCATTCCTGGCTATACTTCCGTTTATATACTTTTCAAAATGAATTCTATCGAATTCAGCCTTTTATTCATATTTTAATGTATTTATAATTAACCTAGGTGAAGTTAGCCAAAGATTCGAGTAAAATTAGCTAGGATTCATCCAGGAACTGTTCCAAGAAGTTCAAAAATACAACTCGACGAGCTCTATCTAATGGTTAAATCAGATTTTCGATATCTAAAACTATGAGAAATAAAGTCTCAAAATACTGGTATTTCACTATATAAATACTGAATAAGAATGTGAGTTTGATAGCTATACAATATTTCAATGTCTTCATAATGATTTGAAAAAAGTTAATATACACTGAATTAAATTCTTGATAATAGAATCGTTGACATTTTTAATAATTTTAAACTAGTATGCTAAAACTGAAGGATGAACCGTGATAATAGGTATTAATCTTTCTTATTGATGATATAGTGAATGCAAGAAATATAATGCGATCTTTTTATTAGTGTCAAAAGTAAACAATATCATTATTTATGAAATAATTGGGAGATATAATAGTGTCGTAACAATGGTCGATGCATATTTAGTGCATTATTGTAATACTCATATTTATGAAATGAATTTACTCTATAAATCTCAATATTCCCATAGTGAAATACGAGTATTTGCCGATTATTTTTCTCATAGTTTTAGATATCGAAAATCTGAATTAACCATTAGATAGAGCTCGTCGAGCTGTATTTTTGAATTTCTTGTAATAGTTCGTGGATGAATTCTAGCTAATTTGATTCGAATCTTTGGCTAACTTCAACTAGGTTAATATTGATATGTTTAAGATATAGTTCTATCTATCTCATTGAAGAAGATGATTTATTTGGTAAACTTATCAAATATATCATGTTGGTTAATAGATCTCTTGTTTATAAAATTGTTTTATTTAAAAGAGCTTTTTTATTTCAATATTCGATATTTTTCTATAAGTTTATTATTTCGATTATAATTAAAGATACTTTAGAAAAAAAAAAGTTCTGATTAAGAAAAAAAAGAATTCGAAAAAGTAGCGGTAAATATTGTTTACCTTTTGTTAAATAAAAACGAATTTCTATTGTTATTATAATGAATGAATAAATAAATATCGGATTTGTTTTTTTAAACAAATAGATTTTATAGTTAATCATAGTCAACGAAAATTCGACAATAGGTTTATTAAAGAATATTTTTTCGAAATCTATTATAGAATATCTTTTCAAAAGTTTTTTATGTCTCATATTTATCATTGACTCTTTATTATATTGAATATCAACAAAATTTATCTTTTCATAAGAATTTTGTTTTTCTTTACTGGAAATATTTTACTATTGAAACAAAAAATCTCTATTATATATAAGAGATTAAATCTCGAACTTTTTAGATTCACTTTTAGATTTCTAAAAATGAATATTCTCAAATATTTCTAGACAGAACATTTATTAAATCAGATAAGGGTTATTTATCATTAATTATTGGACAAATATTTCCATCAATAGCAGCACTTTTTTTTTTTAAATTATACAGTTTTATTTGCTGCTCGGTGGTTTTCACCATCTCAACGTTATATACCAACAGCTATTTGTTCAATGGTTAATCCATTAGGTAACCATTTTAAATAAATAAAAAACAAAAATTTTTTTTTAATAAAAGGTATAGCAATTGGTTCTCTTGTTCCATTGGTAATAATAAATGATAATCTATCATCAAATGAATTTTTTTGCTCTTTTAATAAGTCAATCTGGATTTCTATTATTAACAAGATTATTAATATTAATTATATTTCGTTCTCAATCTCGATCATCACCATCACCTTCAGAATAACATCATCAAACAATTTATTTAAAAAAAGATTTTATTAATCTTATTCAAAATCGTCATTATCTTATTCTTTTATTTGGTTTTACAATTGATTTAGCTTTATTTAATTCAATAACAACATTACTTTAACAATTAATTAAACCAAGTGGATATTCAAGTCAACATGCTGGAATATTTACTGCTATTATTATTATAGCTGCTCTTTTTAATTCATTTTTAGTATGTTTTATTATGAATTAAACTCATGTTTATCTTCTTATATTATAAATTTTATTAATTGGTGCTAATCAATCAACTATTTTTTTAATATTTATTCTTCGGTCAAATCAATTTTATCCATTATCAATATTAATTGGTTTAATGGAATTATTCTTATTACCATAATTACCAGTTTCATTTCAATGTGCACTTTAATCAACATATCCAATTAGATCAGAATGGTCAACTGGATTATTAATGTGTTCAGAAAATATTCTTGGAGGAATATTTTCTTTTTTACTTCAATATCTTATTAAATTAGCTTCTTTTTATAAATATGGTCAAATATTTAGACCAGGTTCAATATTTATACTTTCCTTTTTTTCTAATAAGTCCATCATCATTATTTATTTGTAAAGATCATTATTTAAGAGTTGAACCTGAAGGTCAACATACAAATTCATCTTCTATTACCATAACTTCTTCTAATAGTTAACGATTTTTTTTTTGTTCGAAGTTAAATTCTAATATAAAATATTAATCGAAAAAGAAATAACTAAAGAATTTAATAAAGTTTTCATTTGAAAATAATTCAATAATGAATATAATGATACTATGTTAACATTTTATAGTCACTCTCTTATAGAAGAACTTTTCATTATATTACTAAATTTGTTTTAGTAAGACAAACAAATAACAAAGATTATAAATTCAAATTAGGTTTATTCTATATATAAATAGTCAATATCTATTCGATTTGGTTAATAATCGATCTCTGATATATCAACTAATAATTCGAACCAATAATTATTTACGGATAATAGATTCGAACAAATAAATAAAATAGTTGATTAGATTATTTTAAAAATTTTTCATTTTTACAATCAGTTATTTTAGTTTGAATAAAAAGAGAATTTTTAGCTTGTTTTTCATTGAGAAGTTGAACTATCTAATTATTAAATAACATGTTTATATAAATAAATAAGTGAAAATATGTGATTATATAATAATATATTATTAAATTTATGAATTGAATATCTATATTGAAATATTTTATTATTTAAATGATTATATTCTATTCTTGTTTTCATTTATTTTTATTTTTATTGTGTACTCAAAAAGTGAGTACACTCTAGAATCGGTCAGTGTGTCCGGCCGTCCGTCCGGCCGTTAACACGATAACTTTTGAAAGGAGAGTCCGATCGCGATGAAATTTTCTACACAGTTTAGTCTTAACAATATCTCGGTCGAGAGAAGAAGATGAGAATGATTGGCCGAACCATTGCTGAGTTGTAGCAAAAATAGTCATTTTTCCCTATGAGAAGATAGACCCTTCTCTACATTCATAAAAAACTTTTCCTATCATAGTCATATAAAACTCCAACTATTATATACCATTCGATAGAGAATTTCACGAGCTACAAAATGGTATATAAAACATAAAGAAACAAGAAAGCTAACTCGCCTATTGCAAAGATAATTAATCGGAATTCGGTTCTGTTTTTGTCCACGCTCTATGTGATCCACAATTAGAGCTCTATCTTCCCATCACAGAGATGATAGTTCGAGGTTTTCTAGAATGGAGAACTCGAATCTATGTTCCATTCGCCTCGAAATCCCATTGGTTGAGCAGTGACCAACAGAAATCAAGTTATAAGAAAAACGAATTTCTTAGGGTAAATCAAGGTGAAGAGTTCAAATCTGAGCTGTGTTTGCCTCCAAATCGTATTGGCTGAGCAATAGCCAATAGAAATTAAGTGTTTACAGAAAGGGTTTGGCAGGACAATTTTGATGTCCACACATTCTAGGGTAACTCATCTGTCTCATTCACTTTTTGAAGTACACATAACTCTCGGATTTAAATCCGAGGTTTCCACATTTATTTTTATTTTTATTTATTGAAAAATCTTTTTTATAAATTCAAATATGAAAATAATTTCGATAAATATATTTGACAAGTTTTTCTTGTTTATTTTCTCTTCGAAATATTTTATTAATTGAATATTTAATAAAACCGATGTTCGAGATATATATAAATGATTTAAGAAAAAATCGAAAAAAATCAATAGAATTTATCAAATATATATTATTCTATATTGAATCTTGAATTTTTCCTATTATTATAAATCATCTTAATAATTGACTGATTTTGAAAAAAGTCGAAATAAATAATAAATAATATTTCTAAGAATATTTATTTCATAGAGATTTATTCTCTAAAATAATATTTAAATGATTTATATCATAAATAAATAAATAAATAAATAAATAAACAAATAAGTTTTTTTTTCTAAAATATTTACATTTAAATATAAAAACGCGAATTATATTAAAATAATAACAATTATTATATATATATCATCTTATCTTTTTGTTTTGTGACTAGTTTTTTTAAAAATAATCTTTAATTGATAATATATATATATGATTAATTATCAGTTTAATTAAATTATATATTTAACCAACACTCATATTCACGAGAAAATAAATATCATAGAATTTATATTATTTTATATTTAGAATTAAATAAAGAAAAAAATATAAATATTTCAATTAATTTATTGATTAATTATTGAATTATTTATAAATATAATTGAATAAATAATATTGATTTTATTTAAAATAAATCATATTCAATATGAGATAAACAAATCAATCAATAAATTGTTCGTTATTCTTGAAAATGATTATCTTATTTAAAAAAGTCAATCAATAATTATATTTATTTCTAAACATAATTCATATCGGTTGATCGATTTTAGTTCGTTATTTATCTATATTAAATCAATAAGATAAATAATTATTTTATTTTATTTATTCTTCTTTAAACAATTTCCAAGAAGAAAATCTTCATTCTTTTATTTCAAATAATATTATTCAGAATATTTATTAGAATTTTCGATTTTTATTAGAAAAAAAAGCGAAAAGATTTATTTTTAAATCTTATATCATTAAATCAAGATGAATTTCATTTTTTATTGATCTTTTTATAAAATATATTTGACTTGCTTTTATTAAAATCTTTAATTAAACAAGATTTATTTTATTAAATAAGATATATATCGATATATTATTTTTATTTTCGATTTTGTTTTTTTTTTAAATAATAAATCTCTTCATTCAATCAAATTTCAATTTACATTTAAGATAAATAAGATCTTTTTTATCTGAAAACTATCATCTTTAACAAAAAGATATTCTTATTTTAATCTATTATATTAAATAGAAAACATCTTAACAAAAAACAATCCATCTTTTCATAGGATATATTCAATATATAATCTATATTCAACCGAGATTTTTTTTATTTAATTACCTTTAACAGTCAAACAGATCGACTAATTCAAACTCAATTAACAAATATAATTGCTCCTTTTTTCATACCAACGCAAATTATATTGATTAATTCACTCTGTTTGGGCTCTAATATATTATATATCGATCGAATATTTCTCAAACAAACATATTCAATATAAATAATAAGAATTATATTGAAAATCATTTTAGAAATAATTATCGAAATAAAATATTGAAGAAATATGTTCAATAAATAAATGCATAAATAACCTTTAAGATTATTCGATAAAATGATAAGTAATTTATCGTTCAAATATAACCAATGAAGAAAGAGGACATTTATATAGTTACCTTAAATAAAGGATAAATAAAACATTTTTTATATTATAGATGAAGGTACATGAAAACGAAACATAATTTATTAACGACTCAAGATTTTGTTTTATTCTCAGTTAAGAATAAGAATTTATCGAAATCGATTTTTATTTTAGAGTTTAACGATATTATTTTCCAATAATAACAAACAAATCAACGATCAATAACTTTAGATTTTATTTCAAATGTCTGATTCATACAAAAAAACGGTTGAACAATTTACAGAAATAATAAATGCTCGTCATGTAAATCATCTTGATAAAGTTCTTGAAGAAAATGTTGAAAAAAGTGAAAATTCTAAAGTTATTTATAAAAATATTGAAGAAGCTCGAGAATATTATTCAATGGAACATGAAGCTCATCCATCTGAGAATTTTCTTCTAACTCAATTTGGAGAAGAAGATCAAGATAATCATAGATTAACAGCAATTCTTTCTTATAATAAACATGATTATGCAACAACATATACTTTTTCACCATTAGGAAAAATTCAAAAAATAAATTCAATTCTACAAGAGCAACATTAACAACAAATATTTTATTTAGATAAAAACATTTTTTTAAAACTAAGATTATCTATAATTTATGTATCTTTGATTTTTTTTTCAAAAATAATTCAAAAATAAAACTCTTCTCAGTTCGAACACTAAAATAAATATTCAATCATTAGATTTTTTTAAATTAAATCGAATATGAATATTGATTTATTCTCAGATTTATTTCACATTCAAATTCTTTTCTTCGAATATTTTTTATTCAATGTCAACTGATTCAATTACGCACATCTGTATTCAACTACCGAGTGTGATCAAATCTTTCTAACATTTTTTATTTTCCATCTATCCCACCTAATGCCCCATCTCACCGACATCACTCATTCAAGTCACGGTCACGGTCACGGACGTGACCCTGACCAATATTTTGTAAAAGTCCCTGACCGTGATCGTCACCGTGACTGGAAGTCACTCACAGACGGTGAAATCTTCATATAGACTATGTCTTTCTAAGCTGATTAGATCAGTATCAAGACGAAGACTTTTTATCTTCTGTAGTTATTTCAATAATTTATCCATCTTATTCGAACCTAAATGACAACGCATTAAGATAACTAAACTGAAAAAACATGATTTAAGTAGATGCTTGGTTACAATTATAAATCAATAAAAGGACACATCCGAATATTCATTTTCAATAAGTCAAATTACTTAATCTATCTTTATTATAAATGAATTAATCATTTTCATTTCTATTTGCTTTTTTTGCGTTGATCTGAAGGTTAGAGATAGGTCCTAGTCTAATATTTCCTACCTATCGATTCTGAATTGATCTCTGCTAAATGTTTGATCTGAGATTGAACTAGTCTAAAGTTGAATCGAAAAAGCTTCTTACAGAAAAATCCAAACAAGTCGAGAACTAACTCAGATTAATTTTATTTTGGTAAACCACAATAAGACATTGATATTTAAACGAACTTACTGTTTACTTTATGAACAATGTTTCAGTTCGATTAACGATCAATTGCTTTCGATAGAAGTTGCTTTTCTAGATAAAAAGACTTATAAATGTAAAGACTATCTCTGAATTGATCAGGTAATGGTTTTATCGATCGAAATAAGATTGGCTTGTCATAATACATAAAAACTAATTTAAACTTGAAATTCATCAGAAGACTGATTCAAGTTTTGTGTTCAACTGTTTTATTGATCTGATATAGCACTCATTTTCTTTCTCATCCGACATTCAACTTGGTCAGTACACAATCAGTTTCATTCTTAAATTCTCCTAGGTTAGATTGACGTACAACATAGAATACGTCACCCAGAATATATTTATGTATATCGATTTTTAATATTTTTTCTCTAGATTGAACTTAATGTTGATTTTCTTTCGTTAAAGGTCCACCGTTTAAGTCCCTAGAAGAAGTGTATTGATGTTTTTATTGCAGAATTGAAATATACAAAATATGATGAGTAATTGTTAGAAGTACGACAATGGAGAAAAAAACTAGAGGGTATTTTTCTCCATTTTCTTACTTGATAAAAAGGTTTCATACCTTTTAAACATTGAAATTCTACCATAAAACGGTCAATGGATTCTTTCATGAGAACTGAAGGGAAAATATTTTTTGGAAAAAGCAGCTCGATCGAATTCTAAGAATAGAAGAACGATTTAAAATAGAAAGAATATTGTTTAAATTTGTTCAACGATTCTAATCCTTATTTTCCCGCTTTCAGATTATTCCTGAAATATTCTCGTTATTCAAAACTCAATCTTATTTCATATATTTAAAACAATAGTCAACATTAAATAATAAATAAAGCTACTTTTTTTTATATAATTTATCTACCAGACATAATTATTTCTAGAAGAACAAAACATATTCATAGAACTTTAGAATTTGAAATATTCAGCAACTCGAATTAGATAAGATCAATAATATGATGAATAAAGTAACATATACTAGAATTATATCAGATATAGATATGAAAATCTTCGAAATAATTCTATTATATATAATAGGAATAAGAATTTTCGAAAAACATTACTAATTATCATTAAACAATATTTTAACGAGAGTCAAACTATGATTACATAAAATTAAAAAGAGAAGAGAATATAGAAAAAAACTCAACCATAGAGACATTGAAATATTGATAGAAATCTCTAGTTAATT